GCAGCAGGAATGAATTTCTAGTAGAGTCTGTCCGTCCCCACCGTTGTCACTGTTCTCTGTAGAAGTCCGTGAAAGGCAAAAGGGGCACTGAAAAGGTCTCCATCTCCTTTATCAACTACCACAGAGTGTTCCTTTGTCTGCACTTGTGATTGTCATGCATTGTTTTGATGTTTGTGCAAATCCAGGGCCCCTGCAGGAGGCTGGGAACGCTGTGTGGGGCAGGCACTGTCACACCAGGATGACAGGGCTGGGTCACATCGCACTAGCTGTCCTGCTGCTGCTCACAGGCAACACAGTGATCCTGAGGTCTGCTGGCCAGGCTCTCCTGTGGCCACTGGAGGCTGCTGCCGCTGGTTGAGTGTTCTGTGTGGTTCTGTGAAGCAGTTCTTCAAGACTCACCATAGAATGTGATGTTCAGCTGCAAGTCGTAATGCCAGTATCCAGACTCCTTCCTGGCTACTCAATCAGTCTCTTCTAGGTGGTGCATTCGTGTCTGGCCTGGTTTACCCACATTGCCCTGTTGAATGGTGTTTGGTCCTCAGGAGATCTCCTTATCTGGCCTGCGGCTATACGGCAGGGAACATTTTCAAGGGTTTCTTTTTTTATTGTCCAAGGTCGAGGTGCACAGAAGCTTAGTATATTCCACGTCTCTTGCAAGTGGGCCCACATAAGTGACCCGCACTTGTGAGCAATGTCTGACACTGTGTTTTCACTTTTCTGTCTCCTGCAGTTGAAGGGAAAGGGATAGTGAGACCTATCAAGAGTACCTGTTAAATGCCGCTGTGCTCCGACACCTCATCTGCATATTACCTATTTAATACATGCAGCACTTCTGTGATGTAGTGACTGGGTTTGTCCGATTGTTGGACAGGGTCTCACGTGCACTAGGCTGACCTCAAATTCCCTGTGTAGCCAAGTATGGCCTTGAACTTTTGATCCTGCTTCTTTATCACCCAAATGCTGGGATTACTGGTGTGTTACCATGCCTGAAGAAACAGACTGTCAAGATCCCATTTTACCCTTAAGGTTCTCAGATAAGGTCAATAAACAGCATCCTCAGGTGGGAAGCTGGGATTGGAGGCCAGCCCCTGACTGCAGAGCCTGCATCCTGTAAGTGCTGAAACGGAATGACTGCCCTGTGCCTGCTACCAGCCGTCCCTGGGGGAAATGAGGCACAGTTCCAGCTTATAGTTTGCAAAGGCAGAAACCTGTCAAGGCTGCCTATGGCCCGTGGCCGAGTAGGTCTTGAAGTTAGGGCTGCTGGCCCCAGAGCCTATTGGTAGCAACTTGCCATGGATTTTCTGTCCCTGGAATGGAAGCTCTAGGATTCACACCTGAACTTCCTCTTGGCCTTTGCATCTGCTCACCAGGGCAGTCTTCACCATTGTAGGTGATAGAGCTTTGAGGTGTGGGGAATGCTGAAGGGACTGTCACAATCTGTCCTGCTCTGTGCTACTGATTGTCCTAGACAGGAGGCTTGCTGGGCAGAGGCGTGTAACTTCACAGAAAGTGCTATTATTGCCATTGGTTTTCTGTATGTGTGTGTTATTTATTCATTTAGAGTTAACATGTGACGTAATGAGTTTCATTGTGCCATTTTCATAATTACATGTCATTATACTTTCCCTTTTATTTCCTCCCCATCTCCCTTTGCTGTTCTCCTTCCTTGACTGAAACAGCACCGCCTGCTTTCCAGCCACAGACGTGTATTGTATTACCTTCTTACCACACACATGTATTGTATTACCTTCT